AATTTTAAATATTTTGACATTAATTTTATATTATTAAAAATAGCTTTTAAATAACTTTAAATTATTGTTAAAATGCATTTAAATGCATTCAAAATTAGAAAATGAATAAAAATACAACTGTCTTACGTAGAAAACTTCAAGTTTCAAATGTCAGTATTAATCTGTGACATCCACGCTTCGCGACTTATGCGAACAAGCCGTGAAGTCCACATTACGATTCTCATGCGAATGCACCTTCTCTGGTCTAACGCACTTACTCATACACATATTCATAGTGAAGTAAATGTAACTATAATCACAATTTTACTTTATATTTAAATATAGCTCGTACCTATTATAACGTAGGATAAGGACCTTAAATTACTGTTAATTTGTAGTTTGTATGTTACAGTGACGACGTAGTGTATACCCACGTAAATCCCCGAAAGCACCTAGCAAGTTCAAACGTTATTATTTTGGTCACTAATCGTCCTTCAATTGTTTTTTTGTTATGCGAAATGATCCACGTATACTCCGGCGCAGAGAAGTTACGAAGCGGGACGGCACAGAGGCAAGGGAAGTAAGCCGCTCTCCCCACCTTTGACGCTCACAGTCACGTGATGTATTAGTAGATGTGACCGTTTCGGCCAATAGTAAAAATGTGTGTGATTTGACTTTTTGTAGTGTCCGCTACAACCAATGAGACCTGCATTCCTTCCGCTCGTCATCTTCTCTGCGTCGGACAGTACTTATATACATTTTCGGGATAGCGTACTATAATTCTCGTATTAACTAGAATACGCTTTCATAATAACTAGAAACATAAATTTTACTGACTGAAATGTGCAGTTTCTAGGGAACTTTGGGATGTATTTTTAATAGCGGTTGGTTATACATATTGGTCTTGTGATCTAACAGTTGTGGGAGGTGCGAGTCTGCGACGAACAGATCTTTAATTTTGTACAAATAAAATAATTTACTAAAATAGACAGGTTTTAAAGAACGGTAACGAAAATGGTCGATCGCGTGAACCTTAAAGAAATGATACCGGCTTTACCGGATGAAAAAATTGGTAATCATTTTGACATATAAGTATTTATTAATCTGTCATTGCCCCTCCCAATAATACGATATGTTTATATGATTTACAAAGTATGATATTGTTTTTATTTTCACTTTTATTTGATTTATTTATCTATTGTAA